ACACAAGATACAAGCAGTGGGTCCCGTCCACTGCCACATCACTAGTGGTGCTTTTAGAGCACCACTTTTAGTGGTCTCAAGCATTATTGTATTTTAAAACACTTGTAATTAGTTCATTTGAAAATGTTAAAAAATGAGAATCATGATATATAATCTTAAAATAGCTTTGAAATATATGTTTAAATAATTACTTTTAATTTGTAATATTCTGCCCCAAACAGGGCCATGATCACATGTTGCTTTTAGATTAAGAACATTTGACATTATAATTCATAAGGTTTGCCAAAACAAAATAGGGTTCAAACTTTGACCTTCTAGCCACGTGTATTCCCGTCATCTGTCCGATCGGGTGCTGGGCCATCATAATTTTCATAGCAAAGATGTTTTTGATTTAAAACTAATACTTGATGAAGATCAGTCAAAACTATACAATTTGAAAAAGAGATTAGGCAATGTTGTGGACCTCTTCTTTTTTGGCAGTTCCAGACTTGCATTTCTTGCCAAGAAATACTTGGTCCCAAAAGTTACTTTCAAGTAGGGATGGTGCAATCCAAGTTGGTGGCTCAAGCCAACGACTGCAACTTATAGAGACTCCAAATTGTATTCAAAAAATATCCCAAAAGAATAATGCACGGTTGAGATTCATTTTGTATGTGATCTCACTATATACAATTAGATTTAAATCACGCATCTATTTTATGATTTATTTTTTGCGTTATTTTTGGGATAGTAGGTTTTTTGCTTTTGCTTATGCAATCTGGTGAAAAATTTCTTATTTTCAAAAATAATAAAATAAAGATTTTGTACCGTTATTTTAAAACACTTGTAATTAGTTCATTTGAATATCTTAAAAAATGAGAATCATGATATATAATCTTAAAATAGCTTTGAAATATATGTTTAAATAATTACTTTTAATTTGTAATATTCTGCCCCAAACAGGGCCCTGATCACATGTTGCTTTTAGATTAAGAACATTTGACATTATAATTCATAAGGTTTGCCAAAACAAAATAGGGTTCAAACTTTGACCTCCCACTCATATAGGGAACATTGATGGTATCCACATGTCAATAACTCATGAATGCGTGAAAGTTGTTTTTGGCATAAAATCTTTTTCCATAAGTTTTTCTGAACCACTACAAACCTAGAAAAAAATAAAATAAAATAAATTTATAAGGGTTGCCATTTTAATTTGGGAGAAATTTACAATGTACACTTTTTTAAATGGTGTATATTGTATAAAAATTATGATTTTTTATGATGAATGTTATGATTGTTTGTGATGTACATTATGACATTTTATAGTAAAGTTATAAATAGTGAATTTATGATGCGTATCTTAAAATTAAAAATGATAATGTTATGACATTTTTATAATTTTTGTTATGACACTTTGAAATTTTGTTATAATATTTTTCAATGAAAAAAAGTTATGATTTTTATAGTAGGGCTATTTTGAGAAGATAGTTATAATCAGTTTTTTGATAAAAAGCTGCTTATAAACAGCTTATAAGCAGCTTTTTTGTGAGAGAGGAAGTGGGTTATAACCTGGGAAGTGGGTTATAATATAACCTACTTCCCAAAATTTAAGATATGAAATTTTGTGAAAAAGTTGTAAAAGACATACCGTATGCATCTTTTTTAGGATGCACATTGTAACATCTCCCTTTGATTTGAAAGAGCGTTTGAATATTGTAGACCCATTTTAAAATCAATTCCAATAATCTGAACCATTCACTTTTTTAAACTCATTGAGTAGAATATTCATATAAAAAATCAAAATAATTAAACATCAGTAACTATATATTTGAATCATATTTGTTTTATAAAAAATGGACAACAAATAGAATTTCAAGAATAATCATTCATTTTTTATAATATAAATTTAATTCAAATATATAACTAACGATATCCGATCATGTTAATTTTTAACATGAATATTCTACTCAATAAGTCTTGGGAAGTGAACAGTTCGAATTATCGAAACGGGACTTATAGTGAGCTCCATGCATCCTTCAAGTTCTCTATACTCATATTAAGATCTTACGATGAGAGAAATCCAACGCTTAGAGTTTGAAATCAATAATAAGATTTGATTTCACAATGCAAAGTTTAAACAAACCATGAATATAAAATTCATAGTAATTTTATGAGAACTTTTCTAATTCCCTAGGTTTTTCCTTCTTTTTTTTTTTTTTGCCCTTTTTTTCCCCTCTCTTTCTTAATGGACTTTCAACCACAAAATCATATTTTGAATTTTTTTGTCTTGAGAATTTCAGATGATTCTTTAATTACAAATTTATTATCAATCATAATATCATATCTTAAAATCTTTCTTGAGAATTTCATATAATTCCATAATTAAGATCTATAGATAAAATAATTTAAAACATAAGATCCTTATTATTATCCCCGCTGACTCAAATCAAGATTCAAATCCTCCATATTATATATCCCATTCACCACTCCATCAGGTGACTAATACAAATTTCAAAAATTCTATATCGGCCGAAAAAGACAATCATTTCAATGTAAATACATGTACTATACATGGCCATCATCTCCACATGATTAAAGTAATTACACCTTTTTATTAATAATTATTAATAATATTTCAAAAATATTAGATTGATTATGTGTTTTCTCAATAACAAAAAATTAAATATTTATGTGGCTCAAAAAATAGTGATGTTAATCATTTATGCTTCTTTATGCCTTTCCCATTGACCAATTGATTCGCTGACTAATTTGAATTCAAATTTTGTCGTCAGAGACGACACCTCCGACTTGAACATTTCAACACGCACGAGAGTTTTACACACACCCCAATTTCTCAAGGACTCATAATATACAAATAATAAATTTATATAGAATTTTAATATATAATAATGTAATTTAATATAAATTATTTATTTTAGGGGTTTTTTTTTAAGGTCCTTGGTATTATGATTTTATAGCATAAAGGATACTCAATATTTTTATAATGTCTAAAGTCTCTCAACATCAATCCAGAGAAAATTCGATCCAGAAAAAATTCAAATCCAAAGAAAATTCAACCAGAGAAAATTCAATCTAGTGAAATTCTTTGATCCAAACCCAGAGAAAATTCAATTTCATCTAGAGAAATTTTGGACTTACCAAAGAATTTCTCTGGGTTCAACCCAAAGAAAAATCAAATTTCTCTGGGTTCATTTTCAAATTCAAATTTCTTTAGGTTCATTTATAAACTAGAGAAAATTTAAATTTCTCTGGATTCATTTTAACCAATTTTCTCTGGTTTATAAATTACTGTTCCATCTGATAATAGACCTTGCATTCGTGAAAGGAAAACTCCAATGTTATGCTCAAGCATCATTAGGGATGACTAGTGGATTCTAATAATAGAAAAATGACTACTCTGTAATTGTTGATACCATCACTCAAGGATCGCCTTAATTTTTCAAAGATCTGTACTTTCCAGCAGATGCAAGTTTATATATTTTGAAAATAAATTACCTTGTAAACTGAGCCAAAACCACCCTCCCCTATCTTGTTTGCTGCATCAAAGTTCGTAGTCGCAACTTTTATTTGTCTTAATGTAAACAATCTAGTTTGTAGAAGTGATGTTGAGTGTGAGGTTGTTCTTCGCAAAGAAATTCGGAGATTCTCGAAGATGCAGAGAAGACGTGGTTGCAGAGGATTCTCTCCCCGTAGAAGACCGTCTTCACGGAGTGACTTTACCGGACACAGCATAGTTCGGTCCATATCTCTACAGATTGCTCAAATTCACATTGAAAACGAAAGGTATAGAGAGTGAGAGCATGAAATAGTGTCACAGTGAAAAGGATGAGATTCCTTTGGGATTTGACTAGAGGAGAAGGAGATAGATACGTTTAGAGAGAGAGAGAGAAGGACCCTAGACAATCAAATTTCTCTGACATATGTTTAGGGACCTTAGATATCAAAAAATAATTTTGTAAATCTCTTCCATTACGTAAAGTGGGAGAGGGACCCTAGACTAATTTTTCCTTTATTTTAAAATAAATCATTCACAAAAATAATATTTATTTGTTAAAATGACATTATCTCATCATTATTATAATATTGAGAAAATTACAAAAAAAAAAAAGAAAAAAAGAGTTTAATCATTGTAACAAAATAAATCTTGAATTCTTTATTTTTTAATTATATTGAACTTTTGATTTGTTTTCAATATGAAGAATTTGTTTATTTTCATTCAATAAAATTGACCGAAAAATGAATATTTTAATTATTAAACTCAATGAAAATTTATATTTATATTTTAGATATTTTATATAAATTTACATTCAGTTTAATGACTAAAATATTTTTTCCGTCAGTTTTAGTTAACGAAAATAGATAAATAGTTTAAATTGAAAACAAAAAAAAATTAAATCTAAATTGATAAAATTAAAAATTAAAAACATATTTTGTTACAAGGGTCAAATCTGAGTTTTTTTTGTTTTGTTTTGTTTCTTTTTTTTTAAATTGTCCCTATAATATTTTATATATATGAATTTGATGTAAAAATAATATTTTCCTTTTTGAAATCTTCCAATTTCGTATACAACTCACAATTTCCCAGCCTCCAACCCAGTCCAGAAAAAAATAAAAATAAATAAATAATAATAAAAAAATAATAAATTGTATTTACCTCCACCCTACTAGCACCGTCCCAAATGAAGTCTGAATTAACTAAAATACGTTTTTTTTTTCTTAGTTTTATTTAATGAAAATAAATAAATGATTTAAATTGAAAATTAAAAACAAATTTAATTTAAATTAATAAAATTCAAAATTTATTTTGTTATAAATATAAAATCTGATTTTTTTTTTAATATAATTGTCCCTACAATATTTTATATATATGAATTTGATGGATAAAATATTTTCCTTTTTGAAATCTACCAAATTCCTATACGACTCACAATTTCCCAGCTTCCAACCCAATCCAATATATATATATATATATATATGTTTTAGAGTACCTTCCAACCTACTCGCACTTTTCCCCCATTTTCCCGGAAAATTCATGTGCTATACCCACACAAACATACATATATATACCCAACAGGCTCTTCATCATCCTCAATATCTTTTTTGCACTAGTTTCTTTGAATTTCCTCTATCATCCTGCCGATTACTTTCTATTGTCATTAATTCCTTTCATTTCTTTTTGTTTGGTTTTTGGAATTTTGGATTTTTTTTGATTGGAAAAATGAACTCCATGAAATTGTTGGCTCTTCGGATTATTGGGTTCTTGTTTTTGGCACTTTTACAAGTCAGCCATGGACAGGGGCTTGGTCCTTCACCTGCGCCAAATGCCCCAGCCAGTGATGGTGAGTTACTCTCTATTCAATTTTAGGATAACTTTCAAAAAAATAAACAGTTAATTTTATAATTTTAACATAATTATACTGAACATTTTTAAGGTTTATAATTTATATAATGATTAGGTTATTTTTTTATCAATAATATTTATTTATTAGTCGTATAAATAAATAAATGATATTATCATCTCTTATTTATTAAAATGTATATTTATTTTTGTTTATTTCAATGTTTATTTCTCATTTGCATTAGTTTTACTCGATTTAACTTTATTAAAATAAAAATTAATATAATTATATTAAAAGTATGAGATTAATTGTATTTTTACCAAATTCATAGTATATTTTAGCTTAGATTTGATTTGAAAATCATTGTATTAGAGGGGAATGCTAACTTTCCTACAATGCACTGGAGTTGGCATTGTCTCCAATTATTTGTGGACAAGTTTGTCCTATCAAACATTGTGATTCTATAACAAGAAGAGCAGCATTTTGGTATTTTACAAGGATATTTACTCCATACACTTTATTTTTTAGATACATAGTTTATTTTAATATTTTCGCAACCTGAACTTATATCAATAATAAATTATGAAAAAATGTCATACATGAATAGATTTGTCACCAAATTTTATTATCGTTAAACACAAAGGTAGTTAGATCCACATTAATAAATACACGAAAGATTTATATTTATTTATTTATTTTGTCTAGTGGTAAAAAAATTTTAAAAAAAAAATTATTTATATATAACATTTTTCATAAATTATTAATGCGATAGTACTACCATTTTAAAGAATCTTTTTCTCCTTTTTTTTTTCCACTTCTTTTGAGGGTGTTGGGAAAAATGATCTTTACTTGACTAGATTTATGTGGTTAAAGTAATCTAATTTTTTATTTTTTATTTTTTATTTTTTTATAATTATCCAATGCAGGCACAGCTATTGATCAAGGAATTGCTTATGTCCTCCTACTTGTAGCACTCGCGATTACATACCTCATCCACTAATGTTTTATTTTCTCTCATTCTTTATATTTTCTTCTATACATATTATTCAAATCTTTGACCTTTTTCCCTTCTGTTTATTTGGAGAGAAAGTTTCGGTGACTTTGAGTTTCTATATTCCTTGTAAAGAAAAAATCACAATTTTTAGTAATAAAGTTCTTTGACTAAATTATTCTTAGCATATGTAATGTTCTTTCATGTACCCAATAAAAATAAATAAAGTTGTGGAGTTGAAGGGTTTTTTTTTAATTAAAAAATCCAAAATAGTTTTTAAAGCAATTACTCAAACAATGTGATTTATGCCGTTCAAAAAAAAAAAAAAAAAAAACAATGTGATTTATGAAAAATGAAAACAGAAAAATAAAAAAATAAAAACAGGCTCTGAGATTGAATTGTGACTACACCTCCAACATAGCCCAATAATGCACTAATGTTTTGTGTGTTAATAAAATATAACAATCATCCTATCATAATGTCCTCTTTCACGTTTGGTTTATTAAACAATAAATAAAAAATATATCATAAATCAAATTATCATTTATCGAATTACCATTGCAAGAAGGCTTTCATTCCATTCTATTTCATTGCAGTAAACCACACACTATATATTAAATCACGTAATGAAATCAACAACCAAAAAAAAGAAGGAAAAAAAAAAAAACACGTGTTATGTATTTGGATCATGAGTTTTGATGAGAATTTGGAATGAAAAAAAAAATCTATTTTTATTTAATTCATTCCCCCCCCCCTCTTTTTAAATTCCTAGTCAAATTTATAATTCAAAAACACAATAATCAAATTTTTTTTGCCACTTGAACCACATTTGTGGAAGTGTCTTCTTCCATTATGCTCTATTTCCCGCACCATTAATAAAAAAAAGGATTTGGACTCAAGTTACAAGATTTATTAAATTTATAACTTTTTCCTTTTTTTTTTTTCAGTTCAAGTTTTGCACAAAAAATTAAAAATCGAAATAAAACCTCCTTTTCTTGTTTTTGGACAGTGGGTAAAAACTTCATCAACAAAAGTAGACACTCACCTCCAACAGTGTGCTACATATCGTGTTATTATTAAAATTTGATACGATGGACTCAAAAATGAAATTTTAATATTGTGTTATTCATCGTGTTACATTTTAACATTATGAATGTTTGATTTTTAAATTTTACTGTCTCCTCAAAAATGTCATACCATGTATTTTTTTTTATATAAAAATTAAAATTAATATTTAAAAAAAGCATATTAACCATCATATTAAAATAATTTGAAGATGTTGAGAATATAAATAATCAGATACACTTCATCACATTGTATGGTAGAAATTAAATTATACGATGATTGTGCTAAAAAATTAGTACATGCACTGTTAGAGTGAATTTCTTAAAATATGACGTTTTATTACTATTACATATTTAAATATGACATTACCATAATTGAAATAGCACAATTTGTTAAAATATGGTCTTACATACCTTGTGTATAGCACAAGGCCACTCGAAAAAGAAATTAAAAAGGGCACAATTGCATGTTAGGGACACCACATATAACTTAGGATTAATTACATTTTAAATCCAGTTGTAATATCAATTTTTCATTCATTTAATTTTAATAGGATCAAAATCTCATTTTAGTCTGTACTTTTACCAAAATTTTATTTTGGTCTTTTTACTTTTAATTTTCATTAGAACCATCAATAGTAAAGAGATGAAAGGGTGACATTTCAACTTAATCTAAAGTGTAACGTATTAATTGTTACAATTGAAATTGAATGGATTCAAGTGAAATGTCAATGAAAATTTAGGGGTGCTAAGTGTAACTTACCCTATAACTTATATTGATCTTTTAAGCAAACAAATTTATATATACAACTACTAATGGTTTTACCAAGGCATTGAGCCTATCACCCCTTTGTGGTGCGAGATTGCGGGTTCAACTCTTATAAAAAGAAATTTGAATTTTTTTTGGTATTTTATTCTCCTGATGGTTGGGTTTAAGCTTCGTAATTGTTGGGTTTTTAGTTATTGTTAAATTAGTAGCTTGTTTGATATAATTTTTTTTTTCATATTCATAATTACTCTCTTATCGATTGACTTTAAAAAAAAATATTATTAATGATTTGTGACCTACTAACATCTCAACACTTACATAAAGGCTCAGTTTGATTAGGGGTTGGATTTCTAATCCAATCCCATGGATTGGTGATTAAAAGATAATATTGTCTTTTATTTTATAAAATTAACAAAGTTATTTTGAGATAAATTATAATTATAGTGTCTAAAATTTAACATTTTTTTCGTTTAAGTTTCTAAAATTTTAATTTTGCCAATTAAGTCCTTAAAGTATTAACTCGAATCAATTTAGTCCTGAAGACAATATAAAAATAAAACATAAACCCAAAAGTTATATAAAATTGTTATAAAGTCCAAATTTTAATTTATTATTAACGTGATTATCCTCTGCGCTTGCGTTTTAGAATTGATATTGACGTGTGGTTTCTTAGTTTTGTCAATATTTATATATGAGCATTAGACAACATTGAAGAAATCGAACATGACAATTTAAATAATAGTATTGTACTACAAATAATTATCAAGTAAAGTAATACTATAATCAAGTTATCAAAAGAACTTAACAAAAATCTTGAGGATCAAATAGAACTCATACATAAAATTCAACATCTAGTATTGGATAAAAGGTAACCAATTAGCTCTTGTCGAAAATAATACAAATAATTATTCTTATTATTACAAGAGAACTATCCAAGTGAATATTTTCAATTAATACCACAAAAAAAAAAAAAAAGGATGTAAGTAATTATAGTCTAGAAGAATTATAAATAATGGCGGAACCAAAAAAAAAAATAACAAAATGAAATATAAAATAATATTAAAAATAGTAAAAAAAAAAAAGATAAAATTGGTAATTGCATATTAGAACAAATAGAAAAGACCTATATAAACAATTATAATTAATTAGTCTGGGAGAAATATATCAATTATAAAAACACAAGTATAGAAGATAATTAACAATAAATTAAAATATGGGCCTAATCACAATTTTATATAGCTTTTGTGTTCTATTTTTGTATTGTCCTCAAGGCTAAATTGATTCGAATTTAATACTTTGGGATTTAATTGACAAAATTGAAACTTTAGGGTTTTAAATGAAAAAAATGTGTTAAACTTTAAGGACTATAATTGTTATTTATCCATTATTTTATATATGGTAAAAACTTTTACATAATTTATCGTATATCTCTAACTTAATATCACTATATTAATAATTTCATTACTCAATTTAATCATACTTAGAATTTCATCAAACATAATCTGTCAAATAAATAAGACAATAGAAAAATTAGGGTAAACCATCAATAGATCATAATAGTTGAACATAATTTCATCAAGTCCTATTAAAAATAAGTCCTAATAAAATCATTGTTAAAAACAATTTTTTTGTGACGATTTTTTGCATATGTCACTAAAAAATGACAATTAGCGACTTTTTTGTCACGATTTTTATAAATTGTAGCTAAAACTTACAATTAGTGTTTTTTTTTTTGTGACGAATTTTTTTAATTGTTGCTGAAAGTTAAAAATTAAATACTTTTTTTTATGGCGATTTTTTTGAACTATCGTTAAAACTTATAATTAATAACATTTTTTGTGACAACTTTTAAATTGTTACTAAAAATTAATAATTAGTGACGTTTTTTAATAATATTTGATGAAAAACATCATTACTTATCATAGGATCTATTAAATAATAGATTCACCTATTAGAACATATACGTACCAACTCTCCCATAAATTAGAGATTCAAGTCTTACTGGGGGTATTTGTTCAAAAAAAAAAAAAAAAGAAAGTCCTACTAGGGCTATGGTGATTGGGGTGTGGGTGCGGGTGCTGGTGCTGGTGCATGTGCAGGTGCAGGTGCGGCACGGACGAAACTAGAATTTCATTTATGAGGAGGCCAAGATATGAAAAAAAAAATCTTTAATATATCCATTGTTATCTACTGTCATATTTCAATTCAAAAATTAGAAATAACTAAGATTTGATATTAAAATAAGGGAGTCGCTATTCCCACTCAACTTTGTTCTAAATACACTCCCTTCTTTATCTTTATTATATATAGAATGGCGTATATTTAGAGTACAGAGGAGTGAAAATAGTAACTATGTATAATAAGGACAAAAAAGAGAGTGTATTTGCAGTAAAGTGGAGTAGGAATAGCAATTCCCTTAAATAATAAGTAAAATTTATTATCTATTAGTCTTCACGTGATCAAAAAAGAAGTCATTTCTACTCAACTTTAATATATAAATAAAAGAGAAATCATAAATTAGTTGATTCTTTGTATATGCTAACTCAATTATCTATTAAAGTGAAAGTAATTTTTTTTCCTTTTCAAATTCAAAAGTTTTACTGGGTCTCACGTGAATCTCATTAATAGGATATCAGCGTTATAAGTATGTTTCATGTTGTGATAAACAAATTGTGATAAAAAAAAATATAATTAATGTATTATTATTGTTAAATTTTGCTTTTATTAAATAAATTTAAAAAGGATAATAATTCTATTTTTTTGGTGTTTCAATTCTTTCGTACAGATAAACTTGTTTTTATTAAGACACATTAAGCTTTCAATATTCCTAAGATAGAGCGGTAGGGGCCATTTGTAATAACAAGAGATTTTGGGCAACATAACATATCATTCCAATAACATTGTTCCTTTGAACAAGGGGCCATGGCCTGTCCCTGAGTGCGAATGCGGGTGCGGAAGCATGGGGTGGGTTGAGGTTTCTTTCAAGGGGAAATAATAAATTAGTATGCCCTGTTTGGTAATTATTTTGTTTTTAATTTTCAGTTTATAATATTTATAAAAATTTAAAAATATGTTCTCAAAATTTGTTTGATAGTTTTTTTGGTTTATAAATGATTGTCTCAATTTATAAATAAAAAATGAGTTTACGTTATCAATTTTCAATTTATTTTTTTCAATTAATTTTTTTTTCAAATAATTTATTTTTAATTATTTTTTTTCAATTAATTTTTTTTTCAATTAATTTGTTTTCAAATAATTTTTTTTTCAATAATTATTTTTCCCAATTAAATTT